AAAAAACCATTTGTTGTAAACATGAAAGAAACATAAAAGTTATGTGATGTAGTACTAGCGGCACGAAGGAAGATGATTTCCTGATGAGCTGTGGATTGTGAGAAAAGAAAGCAGCGTGGTAAACCTGCGTTATGATACCTTAAATCCTCCAAAACACTTAGAACACATCCAACTTATTAGTGGTCAAATCCAGATTACGGTTTTAAATCTGAACCTTAACAAACAAGTCCCAAAAGTAATTAAATTGTTTTATTCAAACAGTAAGAAACATACCAAGGAAACTAACTTATCTTGCTGTTTATTCTTTATTTATAACCAAATCTAAGACTCAATGTACAATTCAATTTCAAAACTATTTACGTACCAGAGTGAAAGTATCAAGAGATTTACTGCAAAATATTGCAAGATTCTGTTACTTCCCTATTCAGTAATACCCGATTCCAATACATTACTTGACAAACACATAGGTGTCAGATATTGCAGGTGTAACTAAGTAAATTTCAAGATAAGATTCTTTAACCCAGTTGACCAAATTGAATATTGAATTTGAATCTTTTCTTGAGACCTAACGAATTTGAGATTTGGCTTTGACACTTAACTAACCTACCTTCACATCCTATCTACATCTCACCTTACACCGCCTTCACTTACCATCCTAGATATCCCTGTTCACAAGAAATAAACACAGCACATAAATTATACAGTGGAGTCCCGATAATCCGAACTTCGGTAATCCGAAAGTCCGCAATCCGAAACCAAAAATAATATATTTTTTAATTTTTTATAAAAAAAAATAAAAATTTGAAAATGTTTGGAAATTTTTTGAAAATTTTCGAAATTTTTTTGAAATTTTTTTGAAATTTGTTGAAGTTTTTTTTTAATTTTTTGAAACTTGAAATTTTTTGAATTTTTTTTAAGTTTTTTTATAAACTTTTAACACAGTTAGCTGTACCTTGTCAACGTATTCTGTAGCGGCCGGGTGAGATAGACTTTTTTGTAGAGTATTTAATTAAATATTTCACCATTTTTGTTATTACTTTAACATTTTTCATTTTCGTCCGCCAAATCACAAATGGATTTTATTACTGTAAGTGATAATTCTGCAGCCACTAGGTCTAGCCTTAAGTAATGTGAAAAACAATCCCGGGCTCGTGCCTGCGTCCTAAGACAAAAAAATTCCAAAAATAAAAAAAATTTTTTTTTTTTTTTCAAATTAAAAAAAAAAACAAAAAAACTTTTAATCCGAAATATTCGGTAATCCGAAATGGGCCCGGTCCAACCATTTCGGACTAACGGGACTCTACTGTAATTTGTATTCTCCACTCAACACTTTAAAAAGACGCCTCTACTTCAGTATCTGTAGTGAAAAGTATTTCACTTGAATGTTCGTATTAACAACAAATGGAGGTACAAAACCGACTTCTACTCATCTGTCAGCTGTTTGGAAGAGTTGTATGTTTTAGTGTGGAAGCGGCACATGCCTGATTGTGAATGCTTATGTATATTGTTTTGTCCATGAAAGCTAATGACACCAGTTTAGGATTCGAAGGTATTTTCAGCAGAAGCATGCAGGATACATGTTACTGGCTTCAAATAGATATTGCAACTGACTTTGGTTCCATGAGAAATGGTTTTGCTTTTCCTTTATTGCTTACCACGCTTAAATTTTTGTACTGTTGATACGCTTTTTATTCTATTTTTTTCACTAACTGTTATAGATTATGTATTGATCTTTGATCTCTTTTGTATTTCTTTTGGCTGTCTACTTTTTACTATTTAAAAATGTTTGCCAAACAAAATTGTTTTATCGTTCCAGTTAACGTTTTGTAAAAACCGTGTTCGATAGTATGATTCTCAAGGCTGCTAAATGTTTTTGGTAGCTATACAATTGGTCACTTATAGCATGTGTTTTTTTATTTATTTGGCTAGTGGATTTAATTTAAATTAATGGCTGCAATATCACATACGGCACCACTCCAACACTTACAAAGATTACTCAATTGCCAATTGCAATCAGTGTTATATCTATGTTTTCGCATGTGGATCGTAGGCCTAAACAGTATAGAATTTTAAGGAGAATGCATTTTTGAAGTTACAGGTAATAGTCCAATTGTTTTTAAAATATTTTTGGTACTTTGATATTATCCGGAGGCCTCTTATTAGAAGATTTTTTCACCGCAGACCAAAATTAACTTCACAATTGAAAGAACATATTTTAATTAACTTGCTGTATGAATTTGACATGATTACAATTAGCGGCCTTTGAGTTCTGCCTCCCAGAAGGCAGTGAAGTCAGTGAAGATTGGTTATGTTAGGTTGGGTTATTAATATGTTTGTAGAACTTTCCTCATTTCGTTATGAATTGAACGATGCCAGATGAGTCATCACTCAAGACACTGGCCCAGCAGATACAGGCAGTGACAGGTGATGCACGGCTCCCGAACTTGGTGGGGATTTGGCGGGCGAAAGTATGATTCATCTGGTATCGTTCGTTTCATAACGTAACGAGGAAAGACCTACTAACATATTTATGATAACCCAACCTAACATAACCGCCGCAGCGCGCTGTATAAGGGTGGCCTCGGGATTATACCAAGTACCATATTTTTTACTATTTTGAGTATGTTAGTGTTGTATATTCTTTACTTTACAAGGATTGTAAATTAGACCTTACAACAAATATACTTTTAAGAGTTGGATGACTTGTATGATCACATCTTAATTTGATAGTACCGGTATCTAAAAAAAATTTCAAGTTTTTAAGAATATAATTTTGATTCAATTTATTCTCATTTTATTTTTACCATTATTAACCATGTTGGTTGTAAGATAAATAACTTAAAGTTAAAGTTCTCTGTACTAAAAAAAATTATCCAGATAGCAATCCCAGAGACATGTTAAGCTTATCACAAACTGTATCCGATTTACATTACTATTGGTCTTAAAATTTATCCCGTTATCATGTTGGTAGCATCTATCTCAAAATCTTTAATGAACTTCCAGATTGAGATTAAAATTTATGTCTTTATGTTTTATATATTTATTGGAAATAGAGTAATAATTTTTCTTAATATTTTAATTTCATGTTGCAGGTGTCCTCAGGCAGAAAGATGTGGAACAAGCTTTGATCTTGGAGGAAAAAATGGCCTTGCAACTCAGGTGAGGATCTTAGTCACTGCTTAGTAGCTAACCACTGTAATCTTGAATCCACAGAGATTCAAGAATAAATCCTAAGTCGATATTTTATTCAGCTGGATTCAAAAATAGAATATTGAATATCATATTTTGTAGTATCTCATGCCCACGGTTTGCCTACGCAACAATTGTCTGTATATTAAGGCAGTAAACATATATTAGTGTTCTGTTTACAATTGTATATCGTAAATGTTGTACAGGTTGTTGGCCGCAGCTGGGATGCCTACTTTGCCTGAGCCGCCATCGTACTGTCACCTGGTTACTGATGACATGGACCTACAACATATGTGGAAAGAAGTACTGTCTGCTGTCAGGGTAGGTACATTAAGTAAACAATTTAAACAGGGTGTCTACCAACCGGGAAATCCGGGAAAACCGGGAATTGTACTTAAATTTTTACTGGCCATGAAATGTACGGGAATTGTCCTTAAATGCCAGACTATGTCCTTAAATTTTTAATGGGCCATAATTTTATTGATCGCTAGTTGGTTAGGAGCACATAAAAGGTTTATCAGATGTTTGTTTACATTTTCATAATTTATTACTAGAGTAATTATGCAGTAAAAATCCCATTAACAATCTCAAACCCATTAATATTTTATCACGACAATCAAGTGTCAAGTCAAGTACTTCCAAGAACTGTTGACTCAGCATGTTTGAAAATGAAACTTGCTTTCAAGCAGCACTTGTTATTGAGCAGCTAGCTCATAAAAGTTGTATCACTTTTATTCCTTTACAACTTCTTTTTTATTACTAGGGTAATTATTATTAGATCCCAAACCTATTTTATTGTGAAAATAATAGCTTATTTATAATGGCTGTTAAATTTCACTTCTTACTTGTACTTTCAGCTTGAAGGTTCAATTTGCCGCGGCCAGTGCCTAGTGCCATAAAACTGTTTATGGTTTCATATTAAACATGTAAATAATCTACAGTCTTATTTTGTAAGTTAACCCCTTTTTTATGGACATTTTATCATTCAATTGACACAACCACAAGCATTGTTGTTTGCATTAATGTTTTATCACTATGTAGGCCTGCTTGGTTTCAAATTATGTCATTGCATTTTCTGTATCTTTGTCTTATATTGTTGGCTATTCAGGTTTCAATATTTTTTGTTTCCCATATATTTATTTATTGAGTTGTATGCTTTAAGCAATCTAAATCTTATGAACTAGAATGATGGTAGTGACTTTGCTGCTATTATAACCTCATTGTTTGTTACTCAGTTTATATAGGCCCCCCTAAATAATTAGGTCTAGGCCTGGGTATTTTGATTCTTGAAAGAGCTGTAAAATATATTAAGAAAATGTAATTGAACCTAAGATAAACAACTAATGATTGCTATGTGTCGATATTAACTTTGCAAATGAAAATACAATAATCTTACTCTGTGCTTATTGCTTAATAGCTGCTTACCATACCTTGATTTTGTACTAAGAATTGAGTAACAATATGCATTAAAGATTTTTTTTCAAAAGTAGTCGAGAACCTAACGTTGTGCCAGGGCGAATCATGCCAAATTAATCGGCCTGGATCGGATAAGCTATGTTATGAAGTTTACGTGACCGATGGAGATATTTGTTGCTATCGCAGGAGACAATGATTGCGTTTCTCTGTTACACTATAAAAGCTTTACCTAAAGTATAGGTAGGCCTATGTTTGTTTACTTTCAATAAATTTCTATTTTGAAATTTTTAACTCTTATCTATTATTATTTACTTTTCTCTCTGGTACAACTACAGTGAATAACAAGATTAATACAGTTTGACAAATCAGGAAAATTATTCGGTAGGCCTAATGACACCGACAAAGGTTACGGCAAAGTGTCCTTAAATGTACGGGAATTGTCCATGAATTTTTTATCCAGAATGTAGTAGACACCCTGTTTAAAGGAATATTATCTTATTCATTTATTTTTATAGATGTGGTATATTCTCCTTGCTACTCGGCCATTTTGTAGTACCCCTCAGCTCAGTCTATCTGCCTTAAGCTTTTGGTTCTTAAAGGTTGCTGTTTGGTAAACAAACATTTTATAACCCGTCACCCGGATACAATTTTATAAAAGGACTTGGACAACATGCACCTAGGACCATCGAAATTGCAACTAGGCTATATCTAGTGGTATTCTGATTTCTCGAACTTAGATTACAAGTATTTGCTTTAAAGTTAAAGCTACATATACATTTAAATATGTACGAATTGGTTACGATTACATTCTGTAATTCCTTGAAAAAGGTTTGCAACAATGCTCCAGGAGTTTATCGAATTGTGTCTCAAGATTATTGTTGTTGTTGTTTACAGAAAGTAAACCAGTTGGCCAGCTCTCTGTACGCATCGGGCACTAACCTGTCCAGGAGTGTTAGTTCTGTTGGGGAACACCAGAGTGAGACATATGTGTCTCCTACACTGCCCAAGCGAGCGGAGACCTTCGGTGGCTTTGACAACGCCAATAAAGACCCTGGCGCACTCAATAAAGGTACCTAAGTCAAGTGTTGATTAGTTGTTTTTTCTCTCACTAAATTGGTTCTTGTGTACTTTTTGTTTTATTTTACATGCAAAAAATTAAACCACCATCAGTGTTGGTAAAATGAGCCAAGTTATTTTTGCTAGATTCATTTTCACTAGTTTAATTCAACTAATTTTTGTTACAGGAACTTCTTAAAAGTTTATATCTATACACCAACTCTCACCTCCAATCCAGAAGTACAAAACCATCTTGGCTTTCTTATGAAACCATCATTGAAAGAGTAATTTCAACAGTTTTTATCCAATTGCAGGATTGTTTAAGAAACAGCACCAGCAACAGATGCAACAGTTGCAACAAATACAGCAACAGCAGACGCAACAGTTGCAGAACCAGTTACAACTCCAGGCCCAACAGCTCCAACAGCAGGTTAGTTGGGTTATGTGGGTGGGATTACCAAAAATATTTAAAATATTAGCATTAGAAAAGTTGACTTCTTACTAAATCTCTTTGACTGTAGGGAGTTCAAGTCAATCTGATTTTAAAACGTATGGGTCTTCAGATCCCCTATATTTTAGGGACGGAAATAATTTATAGGTCGGGTTGAGCTGACCCGAGCATTTATTTGCACAATTGCAGAAAGAGTCTGCAAAGATAAGCGATCGAGAATTGACAAATGAGAGACGATGATGTCACCATGTATTTTGTGCTTTAGGTAAGTAAAAAAGACAAAAATAAAATGTCTTCCAGTTTGCATACTTAATAGCTCAATCTATTAATCACTTTATTGTTTGGAAATCAGGGCATGATAACTGCTTGCCAACTTAAACTTAAAAGCTTGTTACAAATTCAAAGCTCACACAGTCTGGTACCACTTTCCATTTTCTGTGATGCCGTTTTATTAATAGATCATCAGCTGAACTAGCTGGCAATTTATTTTTATTTATTTTATGTTTTTGTGATAATAAAGTAATCTTTCATTTAATTTTTTTCTGAAAATCAAGATACACGGTTTTTTTTTCGGAAAGACACAAGAATACTGTTGCATCTCAAATCACATTCCATTACCGATTACGGCTCAAACATCCGATGCAACTTGAGTGTAATTTGTCTATATGTGCAGGCGATACATCAGCAAGTGGTACAACAGCAATGTCACTCACAGTCGGGCAGCAGAGAACCTTCAGTCAGTTCCAGTCCAGTACTGACACCAGACACTGGTAAAAGCTCTCCTAAACTGTCTTTGGTGCTACAGGTGAGCCAAGAGTTACTAAATGAGCCTAAAACTAATCTGCTGCATGAACAGCTAGCATGAATTTCAAATTTAGAATTAGTGAATTTTACATTCATCAAATCAAGTCAAGTCAAGTAAGTCAAATCAATAGCATAAGCGAATGAACAAATAGGTTTTAAAGAGTTTTGTTTTGGAAAATAGGCTTGGCAAGAGGTCACTCTAGCGAAAGACACACAATGACTGTACACAAAAGTGAAAATATTTCACTCCCTAGGTGTTTTTGGGAAGAGAGATGTCTTAAATTTCATTGCCAACTCTTTTCTTGTCCAAACCTTTCTTGGTTGATAATGCTATCAGTGACAGTGAAATATTATTCATATGTGTATTATTCAAGTGAAGTAGAGTGTGAATAGATTATGTGTAGTACCATTTTATTTATCCCCAGGCTTCATAACCTTTGAATGTCGAATTTTATCATATAGACTCTGCAACTTCAACTTTGTCAAAAAGTAGAAGGAGCTCCAAGACACGTTTTTTCTATTGATTTAAAGTGAGAGTTTCCTGTATACATAGCTTTACCCTTAGTTTTCCATACACAATCATGCATAATCTGTGTCCAGGAGCCCTGGCTAGGCTACAACAGTGACTTGCCAGCCCTGCTCAGTCTAGGACATCAGCAACAGTTGGTAGCCCTGCAGTTGTCTCACCATGTGTACACTCTCAGCTGTATCATATCTCAGCAGATGACGTCCATTGACAGGTACAAGCTGTGTGTTGTATTTATTTAGTTTGAAGAGTGAATAGAATTGATTCTGAAGAAGTTCTATATTATGACTGAATTATATTTGTTTACATTTTATTGTGTATTTATTAGCCTCTGTAGTAAATATTATTTGGTAAGATAGCTGAACTTTGTATTTCAGCGAAAAAATCCTAATTAGACATTGAGTCCTCATTTACTTCCTACTCTACATGAATTATTTGTGCAGCCGTTGTTTCTTCCTTGACTTATTCATAAGCTAAGAACTTTTACGAAAACAAAAAACCAACCTTCTTGTATCAAAAATTTTGTAGGATTTTTACTGAGTATGTTTGGACAGTTTACAGGCACAGCTGGCTGCGTGCAAGGCTCAGTTGTCTGGTGAGGAGACGAGGGAGAGAGAGAGACGGCCTGTGTACAGACACAACCAGCAGCTGGAGGAGTTGAGGAACCTACAAGACAAGCTGACACAGGAGAAGGAGGCTTGGCAGAGAGACCGAGAGACTGAGGAGAGGGACTTGGAGGACAGGAGAGAACAGCTGTTGAGGCTACAGGTGCAGTTGAAATTGAAAATCACCAAAACATACTTACAAAGTCTTCTTGTTTTTGATGCAGGGATGAATTAGAAGTTAAATTAAAAGTTGTTGCTGCCTTTGGATATAGGGAGAAGTGGACATCCTATTCAAATGTTAGAGAAGATTTTACTACTGCCAGAAGTAGACAATCCAGTTCTATGTTTAAAAGTTGTTACCAGTTTTCGAATAAAAAGGTGACATAGTTGAATTGAGCCAGCAAAAAGTGTGTAATGAGTGATTTCTGGTTTGTACACTGACCTTTCAACCAACCCACCAAAGGACAACATAGTGTAAATAAATAAATGTTCAACTTGTAAATTCAACCTCGTGTATCCACAGGAGCAAGTGAGATCAGAGCAGGCTGACGTGACACAACAGCGAGAACAGCTCTACCGCAGATTAGAGATGTTGACCAGTCAGGGTATCTTGATATCACCCAACCTGTCTGTGGTGACCAGTCCCCCACCTTCAGGGGAGGACCACAGCCCCATGACACCTGACGGGGGTGACCTGACACCCACACTGGCCTCTGACCCGCCCCGCCGCAAGGCGGACACTGCTAAGTGGAAACAGCAACACAAGGACAAGGCCAGCACGCTGCCACTCAACCTTATCAGTGCTACCAACCAACAGAAGGTATGTAACCACCGCATGTGTTTACATTATGGTTTAGTAAAAGTATCCCAATGTTAACTATTACTGGTGTGTAGACTATTTTTGTGAAAATGTAGACTCCTAATAGTATTAACCGATTGAAAATTATATTTAGGACTCAAGAGTATCTCAAAACCTAACAATTATAATTCAGCTCCTTCTATATCCAGTTACATCTAGACCAGCATAAAAATAAACCAAAAACTGTTTAAAGCAACACTTGACAGGTGCTGAAACCTGTGATTAGAACTAAGATGTTAGTCTGATCAGTGGTGAGTGGCCAAATGCGTTATCTTTCCGACCACATTTAGATGATTTGGATTTGTCTCAGAATTTGACAGTTCAAAAAGAGTATTGTGATTATGTGATATTTACTGTTGGCCATTTTCACTTCCAGGTCGCTACCAATGTACAAATAAAGCAGCAGTTGCCGCTCAAGTTGGCTACCAAGCTGGGCAGTGGCAGCAGCAATACACTACCTCCTGGTGTGGGGGGACCTCAGCAGATGTTGCCTCTCAAGCTGAGCTCAGGTGTGGGGGAGAGGCGGAGTGGGGGTGGCTACCAGAGACTCAACAGTCCTCCTGACCAGCCTCCACAACACTCTCACACCAGACATGGCTCTAGTCCTGCTATGATGCAGAATGTCCAGGTACAAGGGTTGTTCTCAATATACCTTGGTTTATTGTGTAAGAATCTTGAGGCTCTGCCCTTAATGTTGAGTTTATGATAGTTATTAACTGATTTAAATTGCCTTATCTGCCAAGTGATCCCAAAACCTTGTATAGGATTAATACTTGAAATTTAACTCTCAAATTAAAATCCAGTTTTGAATAAAGAAGATAAAATGACATTTTGTATGAAGTGTTAAATCTCTCAAGATCTGTCACCAGTTCAGTGAAAACTAACGAACATTTCAAATGAAAATGAGTCCAGCTGGCAGAGAGGAGTGCTGCAGAAACAGGAACAGACAGGGCAGTTCCCCAGCAGATCCTTTATGATGGGGTGTAAAAGAGACCCAAAGCAATGAATACAAACCCTTTAAAAAGCTAAATGCTTATGGAGAATAGTCAGACTGGAATTTTGCCACCATAATGAGCTTCACCCGGTTGCCACTAGGATCGCTCGCGTGGCTGCCACGCTACTCTCTCTCTCTCTAAGCCGATTCTTTGTCTCACTCTCTCTCACTTAGTCAGCAGACTTGGCTGCACGCTTGCTATAGTCTACCTAGTGGCCGCCACGGGAACTATCTGAAATTCAAATATAGTATTCCCAGACTGAATTTTTAGCATATTGCATTGCGCTTCTTGTAGGTTTTGTATTCATTGCCCAAAGTCAGTCATCGCTCCATCTTGGAGCCTGCAGTAGGTCACCGTAACAAGTCAGTCTCTTACCATCGTTCTGGTCACTACAACAAACTAATATTCCTAGAGAAATCCAAGCAGTCTGCTCCTTTGCAAGAGTGATCCAAACAATTTAATTTTTTGTTGCGTAAGTAAGCATTTTTTATTGCTTGCTACAATTGATTTTTTGTACTTTTTTGCCCACACATTTTGTTTGGGCTGTGACGGGATTGTTTAGTCTTACATTGCGTTTTTTGTGTGAACCGTGTGGTCCCTTTGAGACAGACATAACGATCAACGATAAACCATCTACGACATTTCCTAATCAAGGTGCTGACCCCTGGACAGGCACACGGTTATCATGTGACATGCTGTGGGCCCAAGAAATATTTGCACCTCTTTAGCATGAATCATAAAAAAAATACCCTAATGTCAATAACTCGTTCAGGAGTTTTCTTCCTAATCAACAAGGACTTTAGTTTGGTTTAAAAAGTCTTAAATAAAATTCTTGCCAAAAGGCAATAATGACAAAATCAAATTTCAGTCTTTATGGCACTGTTCTATGTAATCATGCTGACTGTAATCCGTGGTTGCAGGCAATATTTTTACTGTCAATCACGATCGCAGGTACATCATCACTTACCAGCAAAACAGAGGTTCAACAAAGTACTTCCGCACAAATCCAGCAAATTCGTGAAAAACTCGCCCTGACCTTGAAAACAACACCATCGTTACTCCACATTTGCACTGAAATCGCCAACAGATAAAAACAAATCCTGTCCTGAGAAAATCCCAATTTGAATGTCTTGCCCGAGGATCGGGAGTAGGTTTTCCCTAACATTTTCCAAAATTTAGGGACCATCCTTGATACACAATGACAAAAAAATAGTTAGCAATAACCAATAACTTATTCAAAATAAACGAACATTTTTTGTATCACATGCAATTGAAAAAAGCGAATTAATAACAGAGAAAGTAAAATTAAGAACAAGTAGCAAAAATCAGGTAGTGTCAGTGATGAGTGAGATACCAAGAGTAGTAAGGATTCCTTGGTACAGAGTGTAACTATAACTCTTGCTTGTGTTTGCTAACAAACCTAAAACTTCTTGGGGGGGGGGGGGGCATTCATTTAATCGGCCCTGCCCTGGAACAATCCCGGCCACACCACTGCAGCTGTCATTTCACAGAAAAAGATTTCTTGTTAATAAAATCAGTAGCCTATTCAAGAATTCTAGATCAGTTGGCAGTTAAGGTAGTGTCATCCAGCTTAACATTTAATAAACAGTTATCATAATGCTGATAGCTTTCAAGGTAAGCTAGCTGCTATCCTCCTTTTTCTACAATTTAAAAATCCTGACCTAGAGCCTTCCTCTAAAACAAAACTTAACATTTAATAAGTGATTTGGAGGATTAAAATTAACCAAAATAAAGCTATGACAGTAATAATTTTGTTGAATGGCTTCAATAAAAAAAATAAGAAAAATAAAAGGATCACGTTCTCATATGGTGTTTACCATATTCCCTTTTTTATAGCATATTGATATAAATTAGTTACAATTTCCTAACATGTGATAATTGTTTTTATTCTATCATAATGCTGATAAATATTCAGGAAAATTACAATCCAAGTGTTGACGTTCTGCATGAAAAGTCTAACAGTGTATTTTTGTCTCATAATCCGTTTGTGACAAAGTGTTTTCTTTTTTAAGCATCTATCAGGCAACGGGTCAGTTTCGTAGAGTCAGTAGACAAAAATGGTAAGCAGAGTTGGCCGACTCCAAGCATCTTGATTGTACAGAACGTGCTTTTGTTTGGCAACTAGCTGGAATGCCGGACATATTTTTCCGTGCTACAAATGTGTAGTACGGAAAAATATGTTTGTGTGGATTAAAAAATTACAAAAAAATTGTTTACATTCGTCAAAGCCCGAAGTGCGGGTATTGAAAAATGTTGTAAAAGTTATATTTTTCACGAGCTGCTTTACACACTTGCATTGCATGTTTACTTCAAGAAATAGGGGTTTCACTTGACAGTATCAATATAAAAAATGCTTAGTGTTGAATGATCTGTCGGTTAAAAATATTATGTTTGAAAGTTGTTCCATTGACTTTTATTGGCTTGAAAATATCTTGTTGATAGAGACTCATTTAGGGTATTTTATTGCAACTCATTATTTAATCTCATTAGTTATATTTTTAAATAACAACATGTTTTATAAAATAACTTAAAAACTTTAATAACGTCCATGATAGTTTTTAAATACGGCACTTAGTAAATATGTCTGAGATATTGTATGTAAAAATGTACTGCTATTTGATGAGCATCGTTACGTGAAAAGCCAATGCATGCAGCTTATTGGTCTTGAGTCAATTACTGATTGCTTTGTAGTTTATAGTTTTAAAATATATCCTTTGATATTATAAAAGATACATCAACCAACAATAGAAAGTTTAACAGAGTAGTTGATGTTATTTTTCTAAGATATTTTGATTTATTGGCTTAGATGCAGTCTTAGGAATTGTTATGCCTTTTTGTAATTCTGTGCTTTACTGTTGTACACATAACCATTAAGTTTATTTGGACATACAAAATCAATTGTATTAATGAAAATTTCCTTTAATTTGTGACCCATCCTACCCTAACATGTTTAATTACTGTTCGGATTCAGCAGGGTCTGTTGTAATGAAATACTTTAAGATGAGTGAAGTTTGTCTGATGGTGTTACAGAGTGGTGAGGGCAGGACGGGCAACAAAGCAGGTCGCACCAACACCTACCCCAAGCTGCCGGAGAGGTTTAGAGTAAGGAGTCCTGAGACTCAGCCTCAGCCACCACCCTCCGAGGAAGAGGTTATCTTCTTCTGAACCCTCCCCTCTCCCTGTGCAGCCTGCAACCTACTCTGACACTCACTCTCTGCCGATGAGTGCGAGAGGGACTGGTTCCATCTCCGGCATTATCCACAAAAACTTTGTGGGTTTCGACCGCTTGAAGTGTTATTCTTTAGTTCTTCCATAAAAATTCCAAACATAAAAAAATGTCGTTGACACAAATTGGGATAACGACAGTGCATGGGAGTACAAGCATAAATTGTGACTTTGCTGTCTAAAAGTTCCTGTGCTCAATAAGTCTTGTATTCACAAAGTCAAGTGCTTAAAATATTGAAAGAATGGAAATTGTTGCAAAATAAGATAATTTAAACTCAGTATATTATCTTAAATCCAAGTAAATTGGCAAATATTTTAAATAGTTTATGGTAGCATTTAGAATAAAATGCTTAAGTAGATTTAATAATCTTGACATTAAGGTTGCAGAATATTACTTCCTATCTACAGAATATTGTGTCAAAATACGTTAGAATAGTAAATGTTCAGTTGAGTGTGGGAATAACCAATTTCGGTATTAAATCTAAAGTAAAAAGTATAGTTTTGAAGATGTAAACAATATGTAAAGTATTGTAGGTTGTCTTCATAGTTTCCTTCTAGCTGTTCTTAAATTTATAAATGTACTGGGAAGCAGATTGTTACATTACTTCTGTCCATGGATAGTATTACCTAAATAGTATTTGCTTTTTAGTAACAAGACTTAGAGCTGTAACGTAGGTAAATTTGATTGTTTTAAATGTCAAATTTAATGAAAACTTTTGAAGTTATGTAAAACTCTTGTTAGGTTTCAAAAACCTATCCCAATACATATTTAGATTCTGTTGAGCTTGTGAAAAGTAATTTTCCCCATTAAATTTGTGAAACTGTAAATGAAGATGTATTTAATTTTTTATACAAATTTGTTTGTTTAAAAACGTTTAATCCTTTTGAATAGCAAACAATTGTTACCAAATATTAGTTTAGTAGAGTAAACTGCGTTACTTAAAACTAGGCAGCAAATATTAAATTCTTTACACACAAACATGTTTTGAGCTTGTTTGTAAAGCTTGTTTCATTACAGTATAAGTGTACTGTAAGAAAATAACTTTGTAAAATCTGGTAGCATTAAAATATTCTACTAGTAGTTAGTACAAAAAGAGTTGTACATAGGAATTTCTTACATTGTGGTCCTTTACAAAATGTTTTATGTTTTTGTACTTTTATCCCAAAACCATACCCTGATGCTTTAGCATTGGTTCTAACATACAGACGAATATTCAGCAATGTGCTGCTGTTGTCATCCATCTCAAGATGGATGTTGTGAATGTAAATTGTGATTTTTATGAAAATGTAAAACTAAACTTAAATGTATGAGACATTTTACTTATTTAACGGATTGAGGTGTATCAAAACACTTGAGAACTTCAGAGAAGTTAGAAAATATTACTCCTGGAAAAATTAATTATATAACAGCATAAACGGTCACCATTTGGCTACAATGAACTAGTGCCATCATCTCACATACATTTTTAACAAAAATTAAGTCTATATTTTGTTTGGATATTTTTTAAATTTTGTACTCGTCAGCCCAACTGTGTCATGATTGAGTAAAGATGGGTTGTATGTGAGGATTAAAATTGATCTTTATACTTAGTATTCTCTAAATGAACACAGTTTTGAAATCCAAACACCTCCAAAATAAAAACCTTATCTTTTAGTTATCTTTCAATTCTGCTGAGGTTTTGAAATTGAGTTGTATCTTTGGACAATCATCTTTGACGACTGATTTCCCCCCATTGTTGTAGAACGTGTGTTTGTTATCTACTTAGCCTTGTGCCGTTGTTTGTTGCGGGGCAGTGTTACGATGTTGTTAGTGTTGGCTGTTACTAATTGTTACAAATGTTACTCTTACACTTCATCGTTGTTACTCTGCTCACTCATCTTGTTAAGCTGTTCGCTCATCCCGCTCCTTGTCACGGATGTTTTGATCTTTTGGCTTTATTGCGAAGTTGTAACCACGAGTAATGTTCCGCATTTGTTTTTATAGAGTAATGTGTTGAATTCGGTAGTCGTAGGCAATACTAGTTTTATAACGTATTCCGATAGCAATCAGTAGAGGGTAGTGTCTCAGTAGGTAACTCGAATAAAGCCAAGTCCTATGTAATATTACGACAATAACAGAGTCTAGTTTGAACCGGTTGGATCCTCTCTTGTAAGTAGTTTCTATCTTTAACCTCTAGAAGTTAAACTTGTACATAACTATTTTATCTCATTCCATGTTACTATTTTTATGGTATTTAAATTTTATCATTCGTTCTTGAGTATTTATATAATAGTTTAAAAGTGTGAAGTCTGTATTTGTATATGAAGTATGTATTCTGGATATTTATTTAGTATTTTTTATGTTAACCTTAATTTGTTGCTTAAAATGTCTGTGATCTCTGTCCAGTATTCATCGTGTCTATTGAAGTTTGTGATATAAAAAATGAAAAGATGCAGCGGTAAAATTGAACAAAGAAGAAAGTATTCAAACTAAAAATGACCCACCTAAAGATTTGGCTGTTTTATCTAATTTCTAGATAACTAACCTTTACATTACAGTGTGGAACCTTCACATTGCTGAAATGTTGTAAGATGCATGAAAATTTGGCAGAGAAACACAAGTCATGTATAACAGTCAGTATTATTGTGTTATGACAATAGTCTGTAACTTGTCTGCAATGGAGGCAAAGACTTATCTTGGTCTTTAGTGATATTCTTCTGATAGTATAATTTATTCAATTTTTATAGTCAAAGTAATATAATTTAATGCATGAATTACTCAATGTTCTTACTATACAAATTATTTTACTGTGATAAAATAATATTTTGCTCTAAACATTTTATTTTTATAATTTTTTTTTTTTGCCCAAAATACTGCCATGTGATCTGTGAAAGTGTTTTTCCTCATATTGGTGTATGCGGCAGGTTTCACCAGCGATCTCCCAAAAGAACAATTTCCTTCCTATTTTCAATTTCTTGGTATTACAAAGCTTGTGTTATTCTCTCTTGTCAGGAAATTTGTCATTTGTTTTGTATAAAATACTTTTCAGTTTGAATAACTTTCAACAATATTACTTTCATTCTTTCTTCTCCACTGATTATAAAAAGTCCCAAGTGTGAGACTATAATGTTGTAATGTAACTAAACATTTCACTGTTTCACATTCCAAAACGGGTAACAGGGTTACAGTTTTGTTCATATTTTGTTTATATCACCTAATGGTGTGTTTCAGCTTTAATATTGCCTTTAAGGTGAAAGTGCATGGAGACAGATCGCTGAGTGGGCCTCACCCTACAAAACTCTTGGCTCTACCATGCATGTCTTCTCCATTTTTTAAGTGTAGCAGAAGAATTGAGGATATTTTTTGTAAGATTCTAAACGATGACTTCTGGAAATATTTTTCTTCCACCCCAAGTCAACAATTTGTTTTTTTTATTTTTATTTCAGTATCATCGATTACTTTATAGTTATTGAAAAATTGTATATGGTTTATATTTTATACTGTTATACATTTATAACTATTGTACATAGACTTTATAGATAAGCTAATCTAGGAAATAAAAAAAAAATCTCTGTATCCTTAGTTTATCAATTTACTGGTCTTGTAGAAATTGGCACCAACACAAACCTATGTTCGAATAATAATATTGAAAAACGAGACCTTCTTTGTTCCGTCTTGTTATTGTACATTTTTTTTAAAATTATAATTCGCCTTCATAGTTATGTAATCTTTTTTTATATTATTGTTGACCAAAAGAGAATTTTTTCAAGATGTTCTTTGGGTGTAAAGGTTTTTATGTGACAAGCTAAGTTTAATTGCTTCCATTTTCCTTGTACATCCGTAAGGTTGCCTTACCTCTTACTCTGCGAGTATTACTCCATTTAAAAATAAAATAAAATCTTACAGTGTTTTTTTGTATTGTTTTCCTGAGTTTTCCTATTGGTACTTTCACTTTTCCTACAGTTATCTGACAAAGCAGGCTTTCTTGTACTGATAATACACAAAGTACCTAATTGCTCCATTTATTACTTTTGCCACACTCTTGTATTCCAATCAAACAATATAAAACAGTGTGCTTTTCTTTGGCACGTAAATGTGCACTTGAAAATAAGTTGTTAACACTTAAAGTTACCGTACTGTGACTATGATCAGCTGGTGCAGTGTTTCTCATTTTGTTCAACGCTTGGATTTAATCTAACATTAAAAACGTGTTGTACAGGGTGAGGCAGACCACTGGAGACTTCAACAGCGCCAGGGCGATAAACTAAAGAAAGCGTTTCATTGTAAAACTGATGACCTAATTCATATCCTAACTAAGCGAGTCTTTCCACAGGAAATAAAAGCGTTTTTAGACAGTTGAACGGTACTTCCAAGTTATAAGAGCAGACACCATCTTAAATTTTGAATAGTGACGCAAGGTGCGGGCTATGTTAACTGTACAGCGCTTGCATACATGCCGGAATTAGGATCTTTCAAAGATATTAAAAGCTGAAAATCGTGTAAAGGAAACAAACATTTAAAGCAAACTTGTGACATGAATAAAATATAGCAAAATGAAACTCTGAGAGTTCCTAATTTCCAATTTTTACTGAGTATGGGCGTTATTGAAGCTGAAGAAGTGCAGCGCATAGAGGTGTGAAAATCCTGTCGATGAGAGAGATGGCAGCATAGGGGAGTTAGGGCTACACTGCTGGGGAAGAAGGCACCTTCTGTAGGGGACGATGAGAGGACTGTTGGTCGTATGTAAGAAGATGGTGATGTGCAGAGTTGATGTAGATAATTGTGTTAAGCACATTAGTAATTCAGTTAATTAGTATTTTTACTAGGAAGTTTTGGGGTAGTTTTAATTTTTTTCATTTCTTATGTATTTAGGGGTGGCTTAGAATCTGAAATTGAGGTTTGCCAACCTTGACGCAACATTGATTAAAATTGAGAAAAATATGGAAAAAATTATATTTTTTGTAATATTTGGTTTATAACTCAGAAATTATCAACTTTTCGTA